CCACCTCATCTCTAAGCGTTGCCACTTCCCGGCCACGATGAGGCACCTTGCCTTCGGGAAGAAGTAGGGGATACTTCTTTAAAATTCCAGCTTTCTAGCGTTTCTCGTTCTCGAATTAGCAATTTTTCTTCCAAAACTTTCATGTGCTGGTGCGTGAGACCGGATGGTTCTAAGGAGCTGAATTTGTTCATGAGAAGTGAACATTCCCCTAAAGTTTCAGCTTTTTAACTTATCTCGTTCCCGAATTAGCAGTTTTTCTGCCAAAGCTTTCACGTAGTTGGTATTACGTCCCTGGGGTCGCACTTGGGCGGGAAACACACTGGCAGAATTTCAGCATCATTGCTTGGTCGCTGAGTAAAAACACTCGGACAAACAAAACACACACATACAAGCACAAACAGGATCGTCGCAATATGTTTTTGCTGCCTCTAGCAGCGTTCTAGTGCTACACGACAAAAACTCATAAAACCGGAAATGACCATCAGCGCTGCCTGCTGGAAACTCAGGTAAAATAACGCACCAAGCTTGATGGTGCGGTCATGCGTTTCTGCAAAAAACTTAAAGTAATCAGATCGTTAACTCAGGAGTGGTTGCTGCTTACACCTATTTTGTGCGATCACTTGCGTAAATCATCGCAAATTTTGCATGAAGGAAAGTGAACAATTCCCATTTAGCGGTCGTTCCTTGAAAATGACCTAGTTATTCAGTAAGTAATTTTCCCATCAAAACTTTCAAGTGTCCGTATGTGAGGACACGCAAACCTGGAGACTGAATTTGAAATCTTTAAGTTGCGCTTGAACAGGGAGCATTCTTTTAAAATTTTAGCATTCCAGATTTTCTGGTTCCCAAGTTAATAATTTTTGCGTCAAAACTTTCACACACACGTACGTGAGTAAGCAGTGTGACTAGGAGCTGAATTTAAATCTTTGACTTATACTTGGGTTGGGGAACGTTGTCTTAAAATTTCAGGCCTCAAGCTTTTGTGGTTACCGAGATAGCTTTTCCGCCGAAAATTTGCGTATTTTTTAAAACGTCCATACGTGGGACCCAAGCATACGCTGGTGACGATATTAAAATGGGAGGGTCGAACATTGTGTGGGCACACATTCCCGAAGTTTTAGTCTCCTAGCTTTTCTGGTTCTCGAGTTGAAAGTGAGTGACAAAAAGTACGAACACACACACACACACGCACACATACATGCAGACACTTGCCAATATGGGTTTTTGCATTTACGCAATGCATAAAAATGGTTTTGGTGTTTTCCCTCTTCATTTGGTCATTCTGCTTTATTTCATGCTTCAGTGTCTTTTATTCGGAAATTCGTTCCTCAAAGATAGTTTTCAGAAGTAGAGAAGTTCATCAAAAACGAACATGTGTACTCCAAAAAAATAGATTTCGGATAGTGTTGGGAGAAAGCGACCTGTTGTCAGGCAAATGCGGTTGAAAGAGGTCGAGTGCTCTCATAAAGAGACCATTAACGACCTGTCATCGAAAATCAAAAATTCATTTCTAGATATAATGGATTGTCTCTCACTCGTTTAATTTGGATTTACAAGAAGAAGCAGGTTGAACTTAAAGGGAGCACTTTGTCCGTTATAACTGCTCGCGCAGAGACAAGTAGATGATGCATCTTGAACAGGTCCAAAGGGCTGTCATGCGAAAGTCTTCAGTTGACAGCGTTTTGAAAGCACACTTTTAGATGAACTCTTGCCGTTATTTTTCCTTCATTTCTGGGTCAACATTTATGCAAAATTATTTCAAAAATGAGGCAATCTCGTCAAATAATGATGTTCATCCGTGCATTTGTGGATCACGACAACAGTTATTGTGGTAATGACGACGATGATCAGGGCAGTGATAGCAG